TATATATTTATATACATATATGTATATAAAATTTCATTAAGATGCTTGCATCACCCCCCTTCTGTTGCTTCTTCCCAGCCAGCTTGCTCTGCACCGCGTCGCTCTTTATGCATTACAATTAAGCCGCGATGGCGACAGGAGAGATTAAGGAAAGAGAAGAAGGGCCAAATGCATCCCAATCAGATTTTGCCCCGTGCTAATGTATGATAAGCTTTTAATGACTCATATTCTTGAGCTCGACGCTGGAGGAAGAGAAGGCTGTAACCTTTAGCTACCTTGCAGATCTTCCTGCATAGGGCTTCTGGAGTCTGGCACTGCTGGGAAATTAACATCTCGAGATGTTCCAGGTGATATCCTGGCTCCAGTTTTGGCTTCTTGACAAATTGCAGACTGGCTGTCGCAAATGTTGCATGGATGTCTCTCTCGTAGACAAAGCTGGGGGGAAGGGTGCACCCCAAAATGTGTTGTGGAGGGCTGGGCTGGACCAGGGGACACCCCTTCTGGGAGATCCTTTGCTGGGAACAACATAGAAACCAAAGCGAAGCTGAAAAGTCCCCCAGTGGCCTCTCTGCCTTCAGAGAGAGGGAAGCAATTTAATTAACCATGACGATTATGCAGCCTTCCTTTCAAATGTAAGCTACTGGGTCAAATCCAGGCCCTGTTTTATCATCTCTGTTGGCTAGGAATAAGTAAGCAACCATCTGCTGCTCTGGGGCCTGGGATTGAAAAAAGATTCATCACCACATCTGGGTTTACCATGCACTGGGGGATTCTGGGAGTTGAAGACCACATATCTTCAGCCACCAAGTTTGGAGAAACGCTGCTTTGATGTTTCAGGGAGGGCATTTTTTTAGGAAAAGATTTTATCCTTGGAAGAGGAAATGGAGGAAGGGTGAGGGTCTCTGACTTGGCTTTCTTGAGGATCCCCCAAAATCTTCCCGGGAATCTGGGGTTCTTGCTAACGGGGGCTCCCCTCTTCCAGGACCCCAACTGGTACAAAGCGAAGAACAAAGTGGGCCGCGAGGGCATCATCCCAGCCAACTACGTTCAGAAACGCGAAGGGATGAAACCTGGAATCAAGCTTAGCCTGATGCCGTAAGTAGACATCTGTCCTGGGCATTTTTCACCCCCCCCGGGGCACATCTGGCCCTGTCCTGCCCACATGAGGTCCGTCGGAAATTAGCAATCCCAGGTAAATAGCGCCATTGCTTTTACGTTGAAGGAGACTTTATATTGTTTTATTTTTTTGCTCACCCCTGGCATAGATAGAAAACTGTTTTGCCAGGGTTTTTTTTTTTTTTTTTTTTTTGCTAAGGAGGGGTGCATTGTGGAACCTCTGTGAAGAAATAGGTTTCTAGTTCTCATTGAGGCCAGCGTTGGTACATTCTGACTGTCCTCATGGTCTCTTTTCTCCTTTTAGTCTCTTTTGCTAAGGAGGGGTGCATTGGGGAGCCTCTGAAGAAATAGGTTTCTAGTTCTCATTGAGGCCAGCATTGGTACTGTCCTCGTGGTCTCTTTTCTCTTTTTAGTCTCTTTTGCTAAGGAGGGGATGCATTGTGGAACCTCTGTGAAAAAATAGCTTTCTAGTTCTCATTGAGGCCAGCGTTGGTACGTTCTGACTGTCCTCGTGGTCTCTTTTCTCCTTTTAGTCTGTTTTGCCAAGGAGGGGTGCTTTGTGGAACCTCTGTGAAGAAATAGGTTTCTAGTTCTCACTAAGACCAGCGTCGGTACGTTCTGACTGTCCTGGTGGTCTCTTTTCCCCTCCTCAGCTGGTTTCACGGGAAGATCACGCGTGAGCAAGCTGAGCGGCTGCTGTACCCTCCGGAGACGGGCCTGTTCCTGGTGCGAGAGAGCACCAACTACCCGGGCGATTATACCCTCTGCGTCAGCTGCGAAGGCAAAGTGGAGCATTATCGCATCATCTACTCCTCCAGCAAGCTGAGCATTGACGAAGAGGTCTACTTCGAGAACCTCATGCAACTCGTGGAGGTGAGGCTGAGGCCAGGTTGGCAGGGAGAAGCAGGCTGAGGGACCCCCCACCTCTGGGCCTCTCAGAACAAGAGTGTCCGAAGGGACCTTGGAGGTCTTCTAGTCCAGCCCCCTGCTCAGGCAGGAGAGATTCTATACCAGGGGTCTTCAAACTTGGCCCTTTTATGACTTGTGGACTTCAACTCCCAGAATTCCTCAGCCAGCCATGCTGGCTGAGGAATTCTGGGAGTTGAAGTCCACAAGTCATAAAAGGGCCAAGTTTGAAGACCCCTGCTCTATACCATTTCAGGCAAATGGCTGTCCAGTCTCTTCTTCATACCCTCCGGTGATCAATCAATCAGAATAGAGCTGGAAGGGACCTCAGAGGTCTTCTAGTCCAGCCCTCTGCTCAGGCAGGAAACCCTACACCATTTCAGGCAAATGGCTGTCCAATCTCTTCTTCATACCCTCCGGTGACCAATCAATCAGAATAGAGCTGGAAGGAACCTCAGAGGTCTTCTAGTCCACCCCTATTTAAGCATGAACCCTACACCATTTCAGGCAAATGGGCTGTCCAATCTCTTCTTAAAAAACCTCCCGTGTTGGAGCGTTCACAACTTCCAGCGGCAAGTCGTTCCCCTGGTGAATCGTTCGAAATGGTCAGGAAATTCCTCCTTAGTTCTGGGTTGCTTCTCCCCTTGATGAGTTTCCATCCGTTGCTCCTCGTCCTGCCTTCGGGGGCTTTGGAGAACAGGTGGACCCCCCTCCTCTTTGTGGCAGCCCCTGAAATATGGGAAGATACTATCGTGTCGCCCCTCAGTTAGAAAAAAAAAGAAGTGGAGCTAGGTAATATGCCAGCTTGCGAATCCCGCCAGCCCACCTGAACCTGGTGGCCTCACCCCACCCAGTGCGGTCACAGTCCGCGCAGCTCAACCATGCTCAGAGCTTCCTGCCTCTCGCATCACTACGAGAGACAGGAAGACGCTTCTGAGCGATACCGAAAGGTGCCTCCTTGCAAAACCCGCCATGTGGAGCTGCAGCTCTTGCCTGCCAATTCTGCACCCGGCAGCTCAGCTCAGCTCAGCTCGGGCAGCGCCTGGCGGAAGCGTCTCCCAGCGGTGAGAGACAAACAGGCCGTTCCCCGGAGGATAAGGCTTGTAGAACCGTGGGCGAGTAAGTTCCCCATTCCTTTCTTCTTCTCTTGCGACGGGGAGCCGGGCTGCGCGTCTCACACTGCCCCCTGGTGGGCTGCGGCGTCATCCGGGACTTGAGCTGCGGGCGTCTTTGCGACTGGGCAAAGCTGCGAGATGCACGGGAGCATCCCTCTCAGTCTCACTTTCTGGAGGGTTAATTCCTTTGGGTTTCAGAGCACGAATTGGCACCTTTGGAGGGAGCAGAGATGCAGGAAGCAGTTCCTTTTCTTTTTTAATTTTTATTCACTCATAAGATAAAAGAGGAAAATACAAAAGCAAATCATAGAGGGGATGTCATGTGTCTGATTAACGAAACACTTAAAAGGACTTTCAGGCATATTTTTCCTAAGAGCATTTATTAAGGTTACAGAGACGTCAGTACGGCATGGTGGAAATGCTTAGATCTGATTCTTTTCCGTTGCATTACATTCCAGGCATTTTTCCCTCCCCTATTTTGGGGTCATGGTTCACATCTTCCAATTAACATGGAAGATGTGATTTACTTCCGGTTTCTTTTTCCCGGGCTTTCCTTATATTCTCCTCCCCTTTCACTGTTGCCTGATTTAACTATAAAAATACCAGACAGTTCTGCATGTTGTCAAAGCAAGAATATACAGTATTTGCAGCGTTGACAGGGGAAAGGGAAAAAGAGAAGTGTGGAAAGGCTGGGGAGGGGAGGGAGGAAAAAAAAGGCGTTGATTTGTCAATATAGAAATGGCTAGTTCAGAGGTCCCCAACCTTTTGGGCACCAGGGACCGGTTCCATGGAGAGAGGTTTTTCCGAGGACCAAAGAGTGTGTGGTTTTGTGTGCTGCCTGCATCCCGCAGATGGGGCTTTGCTTGTTTGTGTGTCCCGGTTGCTGGCATGCCACGGCCCGCTACTGGTCCACGGACCGGGGGTTGGGGACCCCTGGGCTAGTTCATACTACTATAGAAATGTAAGAAGTTGAGGTTCGTTGTTCATGCCTTATTTTACTGCAGCAGAGGGAGTTGGAATCCGTGTCGGAAGCAGTTTCCTCCTGAATTGAATGTATGTATGTGCTTGTGTGCGTGCGTGTGTATGCGCGTTCTCTGCGTGTGTCCTTTTTAAGGGGTCACTACAGTTCTGGCTTTGATACCATCTGCACGTCTTCTACATATTGCTTATTTATTGGCCTGTAACATCCACACATGTGGACCCCGGTCTCTGAGAGTGGGTTGGACTTAAGGCAGGGGTAGGCAATCTTGGCTCTTTTATGACTCATGGACTTCAACTCCCAGAATTCCTGAGTCAGCATGGCTCAGCTTGGAAACCTCTCCCTTTCCCCTCAGCATGGCTGGCTCAGGAATTCTGGGAGTTGAAGTCCACAAGTCATAAAAGAGCCAAGGTTGTCTACCCCTGGCTTAGGGTCATGAGGATCAAAGGAAGGCCACGGCTGCGGTTGAAACCCGCCGGTCCCCAGCCGTTAGTGGGGAGACCCAACACTCAGCGAAGTGGTTCTTCAACAGAGGGGTTCATAAACATTCCCTTCTTTGGCAGCACTACACCTCGGACGCTGACGGGCTCTGCACTCGACTGATGAAGCCGAAGGTGATGGAGGGCACCGTGGCTGCGCAAGACGAATTCTCACGGAGTAAGTGCCACACAGGAGCTGAATAGCTGCTCGGCCGGCATCGGCTCTTTATCCTTCCTCCTGCTTCTTCTTTTTCTTTTCCTCCTCCTCCTTCTCCTCCTTCTCTCCTTTTTTTAATAGTTCCTCCTTCTCTTTATTTCTTTTTCTCCTCCTCCTCCTTTTCTTCTCCTTTTTTAATAGTTCCTCCTCTTTATTTCTTTTTCTCCTCCTCCTCCTCCTCCTCCTCC